TTATCTCACACAGATTATTATGAGCTTTACACGTTTACTAAACATTAACCATACATAAAGCAGCTAATGCAGCTTTTGCACAAAATAATATTCGACTGGAAAGCAACATATTTGATGAGTATTTGATTGTACACACACCTGGATGTAAGGGCGTAGATTTGGTTTGAACATTGGGGGGGTTGAAGTTTGGGTATGCCTCCTGATATTGTGATCATGGTATAAATTATGGGGGGGTTGTAATGCATAGATTTAAATATTGGGGGGGTTATATCCCCCCCATCCCCCCCACAAATTACGCCCCTGATGGATGATAAAACAACGATTGCTGTTTTCCTGAATAGAGGGTGTTTATCAAAATGAACTTGTAGGGTCTCCTCTGCAGTGCTGTGATGGACTCTGACTGTGTGGGCTGAGCTCTACCTCTCTTTCTTCTACTTAACATTCACAAGCTAGCACATCGTTCCAAGTCCAGAGGCTTTTTATAGTGTAAACAAACCAAGCCGTTTAAAATATTCTTTTTAAACACCATAAAACTTCACTCCAGGCAAGGGGTCCTTTTGTGCAGTCTAGATACAATTCCCTTTAGTTACAGGGCTGGGATGTTTTTAGTTTTTTTTTTTTACAAGTGTATTGTTCTTTTATGTGGGAATGTTGATATAGCGCAGTGCAGCACTCTGCAGTGCTGGTTCAGAGTTAATACATTACTGAGAGTGTAACAGCAGATTAGGAGCCTCTTATAGTCTGGGTGTAAAGCGGTGTGTGTGTGTGTGTGTGTGAGTGAGTGTCTTGAGGAATGACCAGAGAAAAGTGCAGTGGCAGCAGATCTGGTCTGCAGCTCAGCATTCACCATCAGCCCCCTGTCAAAGCTCAACCCCACCCCTGGAGAGGGATTCTCCTTCAGAGCCTCGCTTCCATTTTAATAATCGGCATGTTCATCCTGAGCAAATGTGAACAGTACAGGATAATACCTGAACTGTCCCATCTCTCTCTCTCTCCCACACACAAATCAGACAATCACAAGCAATGAGTTCTGCATCCTGGTTTTACACAGTTTTTTTCCATCTACACACAAACACACATTTTTGAATGGCCAGGCAGGCTAAGAATGAAAGATGTGTGAGATAAACTTTAAAACACTTAATACTGAGTAACAACCATCCAATATACATATACACAGACAGAGATAATATGTAGATTTTCTTTCATTGTTAGGGTTGTTGATCGATAAAAAAAAGCACAAATTAATTTAACTGTTTTCTGTAATTAATTGCACCTAACATTACAATTTGTAATCATAAATATATTTCCACACTAAAAATTAATGTGGAAACAACATAAACAGTATTTTATATATTTGTTTTAATTACAAATTAGTTTTTTTTACAATGAACTATGAATGAAGGCCATACCAATACTAATACTGATGCCTAATATCTGGGGATAAAATTAATTATTGCAAGTATATTACAGTATTTGAAAGCCAGGCCTATATTTTGTTTATCAGATGTTTTTATTTATAATGTATTAACTACTTTTAATATAAGTGAACAATATGAACTTAAAACCTTTATAATATATAATTATAATATATATATATATATATATATATATATATACACACACACACACACACACGCACTGCACGCACGCACGCACGCACGCACATGTAACACATGAAAGATTAAAATGTATAAGGATAATATTATATATTCTGAATATAATTATTTTATATTTGTTCAATCTTATATTATAATATAATTTTATATTATATCAGTTACACTTCTCTCAGGAATATGTTGCACACAGCCCCATACTGAGATCAATAGGTGGTCTCTGTAAAGCCGCATAAATTAATTGCAGGGCTAATCTTATTTCCTAATTGTTCTTGACAGAGACTGCAAACATCCATCACAGTACAGACCACAGCACAAAGGACGTCACAGTAAACAGAGCAAAGCACAGCTTACGGTACGGTATAGGAGACCACAGGCAATGAGCGATTGACAGAGCAGAGCACAGCGAGGTGCAGGGGGAACAAGTTATAATAAGTAAAAGTGAAAACATGCCTATCATGCCTCTCCGTCTCATCATATACTCCCTCTCGTCTTGAAGGACATTAATGGGTATGGGAGTGGGTTTCTTATCAGAGACATATAGAGTCTGTCCTGCTGAAAAAACTGCAATGCAGATACACAGAGACCGAGAGGGGGGGGGGGGTAGGCAAACTTAAACACTGTCAGCAATCCCCTCAAATTCCATCAAAATCCCATTCAGCCCAGCACCTTTTAGGATCCTTCCATGCCCACGCACATGTCTGTTTTTCTTTCATGGGAGTTTCTACTGACTTCTACTTTTATACTGAGCTAATGATATTTTCTATTCCTTAATCCTGCCCTTAAACCTCGCAGAAACCTTCATTAATCACTATTTACTGTGTTTATTAAGCCATTTCATAGTGGAGACCATTGCTACTCTCAATACAAGTGATTTTAGGTTTTACTATTTATGCGGGGACATTTATTCCTCATAATGCGCGCACACACACACACACACACACACACGGAGAGAGAGAAAAAGAGAGAGAGCAAGGGAGAGAGAGACCTTCAAAACACCTTTTATGACTCTTTCTTTCATCACTCTCTCCGTTTAGCTTCAGTCACTCTGAATCATCCTTCCCTCAATCTACAGTGGCACTTATGATTAAGACATGTTAACATGGGTCAGTGCAGTCTCATCCCAAGACGTCATATAACTGACGTCTTGGGACGTCTTTTGACCATACGTCAATATCCGCCTTTTTAGGGTACCCTTAAACGTCGGTTAGATGACGTTATCGGATCCTAACTCTACCCCAGACCTAAACCTACCCCTAAACCTACCCCGTCACCTAACTGACGTTAAAGGTAAAGCGTCAGTTGTATGACGTCCCAGGATCGTCATAAACCGACGTTTAAGGGTACCCTAAAAAGGCGGATATTGACGTATGGTCAAAAGACGTCCCAAGACGTCAGTTATATGACTTCTTGGGATGAGACTGTGTTACATGGGTAAAAAAAAAGTGTCCTTGCCTTGAACCATGTTACGTTAGAACGTTTTTTTGTGCAGTTTCTGGTGTGGAACCTGCACACTTTCAAACAGCCACACTGTTACACATTAAACATTATCCGCTTCTTAAAAATATAGCCTATATATAATCAAGACATATAAAATATTACTGTGATTTAGAGATTTTCTTGCAGATTTTTCCTTAATAAATACAAAATAGAGCATAAAAAACGTGAACAATGACATCATCCTGTCATTGGTGAGGATTAATTATTTTGTTTACCAGAGAGAGCGGCACAAATATGAAATTAACAGATACACTGCCACCTGGTGTCTGATCTGTTTAAAATACCACTCATTGCCCTGTGAGGTTTTTTATAGCTTTCAAGTAAAAAAGGCAAGTAGAGAACATTGAAAAAGGTAAATCTAGATAGTGGAGGCAGGGGAGTGTTGTAAGACGAGTTGTAACACCATCAGTTTAACTAATTAGTGTTAGAAAGTTAGCTACAGTGATGAAATCACTATATGACCACCATCCTTCTGAGATGACAGCAGAAGTTTTAAGACTTTGTGTAAAATATAAATATAATATAAATATAAATGATTTACAGCATAAAAAGCTTCTCATCTAAGCTGTTAAAAACATGGCTGAACAGACCATGAGGGTTGTTAATATAAAAATAAATAAATAGGCCTATTAATATAAATATAAAAATATAAATATAAAATAGATATTAAAGTCATGATAATAGAATAAAGTCATGAACAATGTGTTTAAACAAATTTCAGTTGAATAACATTTCAAAGTTTTTAAATTTAGTTTTTGACTGTTTTTATGTCAGGCTGTACAAAAGTTGTATGTACTGTAGTTGTACCACCTGACATGGAAAGTGTACCATCCTACCCATACTTGAAATTAGCAGTTTTTGCCAGTATTTGAGAGAGATCTACAAACCTTTTCACTCTGCCACAAGGATCAGTTTAGGTCCTCTGGATGATGCATTATCATGCTTACTGTTATTAGCCCACCTTGTCAATTCATAATAAAAAAGCCATGTTTGCAGTTGTGCCACCCTGACATTTGAGAATATACAAAGGTTTTTTAAGTAGCCTATCTCAAAAGCTTTAAAACTACTGATATCCATAAAATTTGTGTATATGACAGGTTTCAACCCTAAAATGATGTCATAGTATTTCGTTTTTAACTTTTTATTATAAAGACAATTTAAAACGTTCTTAGTTAATTTTTTCGGACAGTTGCACCACCTGACATTTTGGGGGTTTAAGATACCAAAACATTAAATAATATCTATTTATGAAATGTACAAAAAATGTATTCTAGCTGAATGGGTTCTAGATTTTATAGAATCAAGTGATGTCATGAATTTATCAAATTATTTTAAAAGGAAATAATACACTTGGACACAAAAATATGCACGTCATGTCACTGACCCATATATTAGGCCATATTCCCAATTTTATTTGAATTATAGTGCTACATAAAGGCTGTTTACAATTTTAAATTTAAGTGCTTAAAATGTGGGGTGGTGATAATAATTGTATGTCATTTTATGTCCGTGTTACAACACACCATGGTAGTGCAGTGGTTTGTAACAACAACCCTTATACTTGGCACTAATTTACACAGTTTACTACTGTGTAACAAATAGCGTATATAATTTCCTGCTCTTACAAGACTACAAGTCTATGTATGTAGTAGGCTTTGTTATATTATTCATCTAACTAACACACCCAAGCAGCATATTAAATTGCAATACAAAACAAACATTAATTCTTTGCCTTGGTTTATTGACAGTTCAAGTTAATAACCACTTGAAATTCCCCCAACAAAAGCAACGCGGTGAAACTCCCAAAGAAACTAATGTAACTGACAGTTAATTTTGTGTGTGCTACGCATGCGCGCCTTGAGCCCTACGCATGCGCACTTCCCCACGGTGTCTGGTTACGAGAGAGGCTTTGGGAATTCCCCAGGAAAACACCTACGCAGACACACGGCCTTTTCTGGACAAACTGGGCAACAGTAAGCCGCTCACAAGGTGAGCAATCTGTAGTTTTATAATGCTCCGGACATGGAGGGAATCTGAGGCTCGTGCGACAGCGCTTGCCGCTGTTGTTTGGGAATTTGTCCAGAAAGAGCTCATCTTGTTCCCCTAAAAACAATCCATCTGGATAGAAGCGAAAACGGCGCAAGCAGATAGCTGTTGGTCAAGAAAAGCAGTTTCTCTTATTACAGCTGACACCATTTAAACGGATGATTCATATATAAATGGAGGGGACGCAAGATATTCACGGTGAATCCCGAAGACAGAATGCACGGCCTGGACCGAGCTACACTATGGAAAAACGGGGCGCCGTGGACGCTGTCCCGGAGGACTGGTGTGACAGCGGGCTAGACTCCTTAAGCGGGGTCGGACTCGGTTTTGAGGGTTCCTACGGCACTTACACAGAGGCCGAGCAGATGTGGGCACCTGATCGATCTATGTCTGACATACCTGACATCCCACCTTCGGACGAGTCCGACAACAGGGGCACCATGGACTGCGTGTCGATTGGCGGCGGAGAGAGGCTCGATTCTGCCATCGGGGACTCGATTAATGAGGATGCGGTGGTGGGGTGTCTCTCCGACGGGATCGGCACCATGATCCTAAGCGAGCCCGCAGGAACAGACAGACTGGCGGTCTCGGACACTGAGGAGGGTCGGCAGCGGAGAGAAGAACTCTTCAACACGCTCAACTTTCTGTCAGAGGACGGTGACACGTAAGTCTTTGTTGTTTTCTGTTGCCTGTACATTTGTCTGTTTGGAAGGCCATTGGATTTAGACTGTATATTATCTTTTTTGTCTGTCAGGGTACTTCATTTGGCGCTGATTCATGAGCAGTGGGGTGTTGTTCAGTGCCTGCTTGAAGAAATTGTGGTGGACAAGACCTGGACTCCTTACCTGCACATCCAAAATGACCTGGGGCAGGTAACCGCACAACAGTGTTGCCAGATCTAAAGAAACAAGCAACTTGATCTGGCAGAGCAGCACCTATGGATAAAGAAGAATTGCTTTACATCCAATGATCTGATTTATTGTTTCATAAAATATTACATATTAAATTAGGTTATATTGCATTTTGCTGTCAAAATCACCATTAAATCATACTTGACCATTCTTATTTTTTATGGAATATAAATTATTTGTCCATACACCATTTTTTAAATTCTTAGTCATTTTTAATAGAAAACATTATCTTCCTTGCCCCGTCACAACAACATTTCTTCTCTGATGACTTGCTGTGATGCTATGAGGGCAGGACAATAATCCCTCCCTTTCAGCAACCTGGCACTCATGTCACCATCGCAGCAATTAGCAAATGACAACAATCCAATCAATTCTCGATGGACAAAATAAAGTCCCGCCCTACATTTTTTCCCATTTTCGTGAAGCCTCAGATATGCGTCACAATAAGAAAAGAAAATTCACTCACTTACAACTAAAATTTTCTCATCCATATGCACCTATTGGGAAACGGAAACCAAGCACTAGCAAGCCAAACTACATGATTGTTCTCTGGAAATAATGCATACCACAACTGAAAGTCGTTTTTTTTTTTAAAGGGGCCTATAGTCTCGCATAGCCAGACCTTCATCTGGACTCCATCGCTGCTTTCATTGGCCAAGGGAACGTCTGACTGATATGTAAAACAACTAATCTGTTTGTTTTGCTCAGCGTTATGTTTAGAGGAGTGAAAATATAACAATAGCTGCGTTTATATGGACACTTATAATCGGATTGACGGCTCAATCGGACTAAAAAACCTTCATGTAAACCCCTTAATCGATCCGATTGAGCTCGATCCGATTGAAATTTCGATCGGATTGAAAGGGGTGGTTTATTTCTTTTGTAATCCGATCGAGAGAACATGTAAACACTTGATCGGATTGAAAACCGAAACTAAAAGGACTGCGCATGTGCAATGACGTTGAAATAGCGTAATGACGTATGACGCACGGTACGAGCTGTTCTTCCTGTTGAATAAAGTGAATATAAAATGAGTGTTCCGTTATTAAAAAATTCTCATTTCACTCAGCGTCTGTGAAGTGGAGCAGGACAACGTCCCACCAGTGCTCGTTTCAGATTATCATCCATGGATGACTGGTTTTGAGCGCGGGGTTTTACTGCGTGATCAAAATAAGCAGCACGGCAAAACGGTTCATGCTCATCGTCTCCAAATCATGACCAGAGACGGATAAATATTAAGTCTGCTGTTTAAAAAAATAAAGAACCAATAGAGGAGAATAGTTATGCGCGAACAGGGCATATTCGTGCAGTTAAGTTATGTTTCTTCTTACTGCGCATGTGTGAAGAGCACCTTTTATGGGTTAGCGCGGTTTATTCAGTTGTTGTTCAGTCGGGCGTTCTATGAGAGGTAGAGCGGCTGTGTTATGTGATGGAGCAATAAAGAATCTATTGTCTGATAACTGTTGTAGTTATTGAGTTAACACAGTGTGCGCATGTCAAAAAATCAATTCCGATTTAAATCTTGTGACATATAAACGCGCACATCAACCCGATTACTTTATTTATCGTTCATGTAAACACCGTGTTCGGATTCATCAATCGGATTGATTTTATTCCGATTGAACCATGTAAACACAGCTATTGATGTCCCTACAATAACAGACCGGCGTGTAAAACTCTTGGACGTATTTAAAAAAGTTGTGACCTTTACATACTTCAATACTTTTGAAAATCCAGCGTTTAGTTGATCCTGAGAAGCGTTGATTGTCACAGTTGTAAAAATTACAACTTTCTTCTTCTATGAAGGGGTTTGGTGTCAACGGCTTTGTTTCCTGATGGATCGTTAAAGAATGCGACACACACTTCTCCCGGAAATCCTGTAGAACTCAACCAATCAGATGACGACTTTGAAACTCCTGAAGTGTTTCCAATTTTGTGTGCTTTATGCATCAGACGTTCGGCCAATGGTCCCTCGGCGTGACGTCTGAGGCTGAGACTATTTATAGCAAAGACTTAATATATAGAATAAGTCCCGCTTTCTAAATAAAAGAGCTAGGCTAATCGCTGATTGATAAAGTCAATGCGTCACTGCAGCTGCCGTTAGAAGCTCTGATTGCTATAGAAACACTCGGGGCCAGATGTACGTACATTTGCGAACGCAGCGTTAATAGCGCCATAGCCAAGATGCAGAAAGCGCTTGATGTGAAACCACAGTGTGCGTGTTATGTACCAAACCTGCAGTTCATCAGGTACTCGGCGCCTGTCCCCACCCACTATACCGTAAATTGGGTGTATTTAAACGCGCAATTGAATGGGCCGCCTCCTCTCACTGCTGATGCTATGACTGTTTGAAATGATCCTGATGCCAATAATTGTAATGTAGCGAGGAGTTTAACAACTGCTGGAATGGAATGTGAACGCTGAGTCGGAGATTCGATGTCATCTTTGATTTCTTCCAGTAACTGTAATATTGCGTAGCTGCTTAATCTGTAACGCTTAATGATTTCGTTTTCACTCAACTGAAAAAGTGTGATTCTTGTGGCAAAAATCTTTTCAGCTCGTCTCCTTAGCATATGTCTTCGTCTTGCTCGGATTACTGCTGCCATTCCACCAGGAGGCATATGCGCAGGAAACCCGCTTCCTAAGTTACACCTGCTTTTAAGAGGCGGAGAATTTTCAGCGCAAAATAGAGGCGCGCTTTCACCGGCTTTTTCTGTACATAACGCGGAACACATAATTAGGCGCAGTTTACACTTCCCCCTCCCATCTCTTTATGTGACACTCCCACTTTCCCCTTGACCATCCCATGAATGCATATGCATGACACGAAAAGCGCATTTTGTCATTTTCAGTTCCCGCGACAGGCAGTCTGCGCTTTCATCTCGGTGCTTCCGTTCGTACAGTACATACCTCGCCATGGTTTTATGCGCACTTTGCAAAACAAATACCCCTGAAGTGGGCGCAAAAACGTTAGTACATCTGGCCCTCAGTGTTCTGAAACATGGCTGCCCGGAGCCGTTGCAAATATGGTTGCTGAGTGAACAGACTTTCCTTGAAAGAGACTTTGCTTATTGTGAAGCAGAAAGTACACTTAGTTTTTTTTTTACACGTACGCAAGCTAAGTACCTTCCAGTCCTTTACCTTTCGCAAAGTGCTTACGCTTACAAAAGCGGTACTCTTTTGATGACGAAATTCGCGTCACGCGCACTGTACGGTGACCCTTGCGCACACGTAAAAAGTGAAGTATACTTTGGCCTTAAGTGTACATTGCAACACTGATGTGTAACCAATGTAATTTTTCCACCCTCTTCGCTCAGACCGCTCTACATTTAGCAGTCATAGTAGACCGGAGCGAGTGTGTTCGGGCACTGTTGTGGAGTGGAGCCAGTGCAGAGATCCAAGAGAGGGGCGGCAACACACCTTTACACCTGGCTGTCCGAGAGCTTCGCACAGAGTGTGTGAGAGAGCTCACCAGCTGCCCACGGACCCCACCGGAGCACCTCACCATCACCAATTATTCAGGTACACTACAAACTCAAGCAAACACATTTTCACTCTGATTAATATTGAATCTAATTTATTTTATCAGTATATATCTCTGTCTTTTCCATCCATACTATCCCTTTCTCTGTCCATCTGTCACTTTAAGGTGTGAGTGCACTGCACCTGGCTGTACATAGGGGCAATTGTGATATCATCAAAATGCTGCTGGAGGCAGGAGCAGATGCCAATCAACGAGTAAGAAATTATAAACAAAAAATATATATTTTATAAAAGATCATATTAATCTTCTTTTCGAGTATATTTTAGTGTTCAATCATCAACTCTGGCTTTGTAGGATTTGGGGTCAGGTCGGTCTCCATTGCACTGGGCAGTGGAAGGTCAAAGGTCAGCGGTAGTGGATTTGTTACTGAGCGCCGGCGCATTGGTGAATCAGCGCTCGTATGCAGGCCACACCCCGTACTACTGTGCCCTTTACAGACCCAACAAAGAGGTGCAGGCCCTACTTAGTGCCCATGGGGCCACATACATACAGGGCGATGATGAAGAGGAGGAGTACAGAGAGAGTGAAGAGGTTAGAGCCAAATCCACACACATTTACTAACAGAATGCTTAAAAGTATGTTTCTGTACTTACCATTTCTCTATCTGTCACAGGAGTTTGATGATGTCATCATTAATGGACAGCGAGTGCTGTAGCTGTAAAAAACATGGACACTACTCTGCCATTAGACCCTTTGAAATCCAGCTGAACAATTGTGTCATCTGAGTGTATTTGGTGGAGGCTATTATGTGTGTCTGTGTGTATATTTTGTTTTAAGGTACAGTATGATGTCAGTATGCTGCTTCTGGTTCAATGGAATACATAGCTAGATTCTGTTAGTCATGGAGGACCTTAGTTATTTAAGCCTGACATCACGCAAAGCCTTTTCAAAGCTATAACAATGGAGGCAGCTTTTTATTTAGTAAAACCTCTCACTGGCTCATCTTGTGTGTGGCCTAAAATGGTAGTTTACCTAAAGATGAATATTCTGCTATCATTTACTCATCCTCATGATGTTTCAAACCTGTATGAGTTTCTCTCTTCTGGGGAAGATAGTTTGACAAATGGGGGGGGGGGGGGGGGTTTGCACACAGAAAATGACAATGGAGTCCAATGTTGTTTGGACAATATATCTATCAAATCTTTAGGTAAAATATCTTCTTTTGTGTTCCACAGAATAAATAAAGTCATACAGGTTTGGAACGACATGAGGATGAGTAAATTATGGATGATATAATTTTAGGGTGAACTATCGCTTTAAGAACCAAATTCCCTGGATGATATCAGACACCTTAGGTTGCGTGCCACGCAAGCAGCATGGCTGTGATACTCCCACTAGTGGGTAGATTCATTATGTCCACAACATGACAATAGTGGCTTGCTTTCTTTATTTTTAAAACTAAATTATTAGCCAGATTTAGCTGCAAAAATCTTGAAGAGAAAATGAATGTTTTTTAATAAACTGGTTTACTTACTATTACTGTTAAACCAACTATTGGCTGTGTTTTTTGAGTGGAATGTCACTGTTTTCATAGTGACGTCCCAATTGTCTTGTGTGTTTAGAGTGGATGTTTTTTTTTCTTCTTTCTTCACATATAATGGGTGTTAGGGTTGAAATAGGTGACAAGAGGTGGATATCTGAATTCTGAGATGGATAGTAGGTCAGACAGAGAGGATAAACTAAATGGATAAAAATTACAGACGTTACAGAACTCTACAATACAAATGGCAACAAATTCAAAACTGGATTGAATGCACATAAATAGATTTAGAGCTAAATTGTTGATCTAAGGATGTTCATACTCAACTAACCGCTTACAGTTACACTATCATATTATTTGAACTGTGAAGCATCTAACAAACATTCCAAATTACATGAAACACATGACAACACTATTACTTTTTTGTCTTATTAAAGCATCTTAAAATATATTTGAAATATAATATAAAATACAGTATAATATAAAAAATATATATGTCTGACAGACTGTTTTGTTTTCAATTGTTACAAAAGTGGAGAATGATCTCCATTCACTCACTCACACATGCTATTGGGGCATTGTGGTTGTGGACATTTACAGTCACCTGTTTGTAGGCCAATTTCAGATTTTCTGTTTGTTGGGGTGAGCGTGAAAACTTTCTCGATGATTGGTGCCCTCTGTTGGTAATACAGACACTCTTTTGGAAATCAGGGCGCCTGATCGACTGGTACTTGTCCTCTATGAGTTGACTGTATAATGTTGAGCAGATTAAGTTTGTCCTGTTTTAAATTACAAGGTTAATGATTATTCATTCATTGAGAATATGCCATTCTAGATGTAAAAAGAGAGAGGAGGGAGTAACATTTAGGGATTCATTAAACAAGTGTAGCCATGTCTTAAACATTGAGAGGTACGGTTGATTTTAGGGGAAGCTGGATTTGCATTTGAATGTTTCTAATCCATGAATAAACAAACATACTGCAGACAGAGTGATGTATTTGTCCTCTTATCTGTACATATTTATGTTTACTTGGTGATGGGTGAAATGACTGAAAAGCTCTTAGAAACCATTCAAATGGACAATAAACAATAATGATAATAAGACTTGTTTTATTTGTCTCGTTCACATAATCACTTAAATACACACTTTTCTCTTGATGTAGTCGCATCTGAACCCAAAGATTGCAGAATCTATATTATGTGTGAATGGCTGGCTGCAGGTTTTGAAATGACACTTCATTCAAAAGAAATCATCCTGACTGGATTAGCCGGCTTTGTTATTTTTAAACATGTCTGCTCTCCTTTTTTATACACACTTGCCCTTTTTAAGAAGTAACTTAGAATTCAATTTTTTTATTAAAATCTTTTGGTAAGATTTACTGCCACTCAACCAAAAACCAAAGGAAAAACCAAAACAAAAAAACTTTTCAGGATAAATAAGTGCATTTTACCCCCTCATATCTGTTATATGTTTTTCTAATTTTTTTAAATTATGATTCTCATTACTGTAATAGACCTTTAGTCAAGGTAGAGCCATATTTTTTACAGAAATGAAAATGAGGCTGTGAGGAATAGAAAGTAAAGTTTTAGAATCACATTAAAAATTTAGTTTTTTTTTTAAATATAAGAATTACTATTTGCCATTAGAATAATACGAATTGGAGGGTAAAATTCTCCTGAAATTAAAAATGTCACAATGCAAAGGATCCTAATAGTAGACTTTTACATTATGCAAAACAATAATCCTTTTTTTTTTTTTTTTAAATGTGACCAGAAAACTTCTTCATGAGATTCAGTTCAACATTTTTTTAAATGACCCCCCAGTGCATTTAATTTCACTGTTCACCCTTTCAAGATTCGGTTTGATTAATCAATTAAGAGCTCAGGGTCAAAGGTAAGCTCAGAACCCTTTAGCGATATGTTCGGCAGTTCTTCTCCAGCATGCACAGAGTTACAGATGATCCAACACCAAACCCAGCGTACAGCGGTTCAGAGAACTTGGCCTGAAATCTGTGGATGAGCTCCACTGTCTCAGACACAGTGTAAAAGGATACAGATCCTCCAGCGTAATCCAAATACACACCGATCCGTGTGGCACGAGCTGCTCCCGGCAGGTCTTTATCCATCTTATTGTGCCAGGCGGAGTATCCAGAGTCTGAGCACAGGAGACTCCAGGATTTATCATTGTATCCCAGAAGGCTGTTCGAGTTCTTACCTTTACGGCTGATGCTCTTGAAGGCAACTCCAATGGAAAATTCACCGTTCCACTCTGCCTCCCAGTAATGCCGTAATCCACTGAGCGGCTCCTTGCACAGGATCTGGCAAAACCCATCGAACCGCTCCGGGTGATCTGGGTAGAACTGGGTTGTTCGCTTACGGATCACCCGGCGATTCCCGTCTGAAAGGACTAGTTCTTTATAGGCGGTGTTGAGATCAAATGTAAGTTTACAAGAATCTGTGAAATAATATTGTACAAAAAAAATAGACTCCTTCAGCATTTAGAAGAATAAGATGTTATCATCTGTATAGTGAAGAGATTAATTCATGTTAATTGTCTATACACTCACATCTGAGGAAATCCAGTCTTGATTTAGGCTCTGGGAAGTCAGTTCTTATCGGAGCTGAAAATATAGTAGAAAGCTAAGCTAAGGTACATAAATGAGCAGAGTTGTGCTGTAACATACTTCATTCTAAATAAACAGAAATGTAGAACCTCTTACCATTCAAACGTCCCCCAGACCTCGGAATAAGGACATAGACTGAAGTGTCACTCACTGAAAAATTAATCATGCAAAAATTAATAGTAGATCAAATATAGAATTTTGTACACTACGATCAAAAGTAGTCGATTTTTTTTTATATAATATTTTATTAATATTGTATATTTTATAAGGATGCATTAAATTGATCAAAAGTGAAAGTAAAGACATTTATAATGTAACAAAAGATTTATATTTCAAATAAATGCTGTTCTTTTAGACTGTCTATTCATCAAACAAATTTACAACTGTTTCTTGAGCACCAAATCAGCATATTAGAATTATTTCTGAAGTAGAATGAATTACATTTTAAGGCCAATTCACACTGCACCGACAGACGCCGACCAAAGGCAACAGATACGTTTGTGGGGTTTTGTCGGATTAGTATGTTACTCCGTTTTGTGTCTGTCAGCACTAGTTTTCGCCGATTGAAATAAAAAACAGTTATTTAAAATGTTATAATAATATAACAATATTGCTGTTTTTACAGTATTTTTTATTTTAAAAAATGCAGCCTTTGTGAGCATATGATTTATTTATTTATTTTTTTATCTTACCAACCCCAAACATTTGAACAATAGTGTGTATACTATCTGTGTCATTTTACATCCATACTTTATTCTGGAACTACAGGGGTACAGAGCTGATTATATTTTGTTTGCTGTCCGTTTCTGAAGCAGAGCAATGCTTTCCATCTCTACTTAGTAGTTACTATTATTTTGTGCCTTTTAAATATAGATATTACATAAGTCAAAAGAAATCCCATGTCTTTTCCTTAGCCTCTCAGTGGTTAAATGTTATAGTCTTCATTGTTACCTCGTTTGGAGATGTTTCCCAGCTCTTTTTTGCAGATGTTGTCCAGGTGTTCTTTCATGTCAGAGACGGTCTTGGTGATCTCACCAAAGGAAAACTCTGGGTTTATCAGCACTTTAGGCACCATGGGCTCCGGTGCAACTGATAGTGTGGGAAAATTCTGCACAAATAATAAAGACACTTAACAAAATCTGTGCTTCTAAGTAGCTTCCCTGAATGTCCATATTAAATTTCCAGTCAGGCTAGTCCACAGATTTCAACTTTCTCAAAGGCAGAAATCCAGAATGATAAAAAGAAAACTAGTGAAATGTGAGAGGCAGTTCTTTACCTGTAGGAAGTGAATGTTGTCCTCTGTGTCAAGTATTTGACGTAGTTCAGCATCTCTCTTCTGAAGCTCCATGATCTCTTGTTCAAGTCTCTCTATGTAACCCTGAGCCTGTCAGTACATTAAAGCTATCACAGTCTGAGAGTGGGGAACAGCAACAGTAGCAGCTCCATAAGCAGTGTGTGTGAAACATATCAGTTAGAGTCATGGTCAGAATTATTGGCACCCTTGGTAAATATGATCAAAGAAGGCTGTGAAAATAAATCTGCATTGTTTATCCTTTTAATCTATCATTCAGATAGATCTATCAATCTTTCGTTGAAGTAAAACAAGTGAAAGTTTCACATTATGAAATAGATGTTTTTCTCCAAAACACGTTGGCCAGAATTATTGGCACCCCTTGAAATTCTTATGAGTAAAATATCTCTGAAGTATATTCCCATTCTTATTTACATATTTTAGCACACCATGGTGACTAGGAACATGAAATTGTCTAGCCATGACTTCTTATTTCACATGAGTATGACTACAAAAATTCCATTAATCATCCAGTAAAACCAAAAAATATAGTTCTGATGTGCAGCAAAAGATTGTTGAGCTTCACAAAATAGAAAGTGGCTGTTAGAAATAGCTAAAGCATTGAAAATCCCCATTTTCACCATCAGGGCAATAATTAAGAAGTTCCAA